TCATCAATGTAACAAAAATTAATGCCTGGGTCATTATTTTATGAAATAATTGATCATAAATTATTACAATATAATTTTTAAAAGTTTAATAGATAAAAGTAGAAGAAAATTAAAATAAAAGTGACCATCAGTGTAGTTTATCCAAAAAATAGAAATAAAATTTCTTTTACCCGACCTATTCTCAGCTCTCTTCAGTAAGCCTGCCGCCTCTGTGTCCCAGCCTCTTCCTCTCTTTGAATCAGCCCTCATCCGCCTTCTCTATTGTTGCTCTTTTTTAACTCAGGACATTAAAGAAAAGAGATGCAGCACGACGAGTGATATGGCAAGTAATAAGACACAAACACTGCAGTTTCATGTCCAAGTATAATTCTCCCCTCTATTTTCTCTTTAATCTTTTTTTGAGCTTTGATATGGGTACCATCTTTTTTAATGTTTTTTTTCTTTGCAGAATCTCTACTGGTATATTCTGTAGAAACCCTTATAACGTAACTGGGATCTGCAATCGTAGTTCCTGCCCTCTTGCAAATAGTCGCTATGCCACTATCCGTGACCATGATGGTAACTCATCCTTCTTTATTAATTGTATCTCTCAGAAAATTAGGGAAACGAGAAGAGGATTTTACTGGGTTAGGTTATATTAATGGTAATGCATTTTTGCTGCGTTAGTCTCTGTTCCGTCAGATACATACAATGTGTTAAATTCATTAAAATATATCTATTTCATCAGTTATCACAATTAAAATGAAGCATCGTGATTTTTGCGATTTGGCTGAATGATTGATTGCTAGAGAATGAGAGTGTCTGCCTGACTGGGTAGTCTGATTGCTGTATATTTGAATTTGAGCGTGATTAACTTGAATGGATTTTTCTGTCGTGCTCTTATGCAGGGGTCTTTTATTTATATATGAAGACTATAGAAAGAGCTCATAAACCCAATGATTTATGGGAAAGAGTGAAATTACCCAGAAATTATGAGAAGGCACTTGAAATTATTGACAAGCATCTGGTATTCCATCTCTTCTCATGTTTTACATTTCTACTAATTCATAATCCTTTTCTCTTAACTTTGCTTCTCTGTTGCTAAACATGCTTTTTTTTTTCTCTTGTCATTAAGATGTACTGGCCTAAGCTCCTTGTTCACAAAATAAAGCAGCGTCTCACAAAAATGACCCAGATGCGTATCCGCATGAGGAAACTTGCCTTGAAAACAAGGTTCCCATATGCTTTCACTTTTATTTATATATTGGTTTTGATGTTTGTCTGGAATTTAATAGATGAAAGTCATAGAAGAGAACTTTATTTCCTTGGAATTTACCTAAGGTGCTTGCTGAAAGCTTCCTTCCTAAACTTCATTTCCATTCATCATATCTTGTTTATTTGTTTGCCGTACTTTGCATTGGGCTGAACTTTGTGGGTTTTAGTGGGAGTTTTGTACCTTTCTTAAAAAATTAAGTGACGACGGCCAATTTTGCCACTATTCCATGGTTCAATATATAGTTTTGCTACAATTCTATTATTTTCTTTGGTTTTGGGAGAAAAAAAATGGAATTGGATATCCCCTTAATGTAAATGACCGATTTTCATTGATTCTGTCATTTTTTGTGTTAAAATATCAACTACTTGGAAGTATAGTGGCAAGATTTAATGACATTGAAGTAAAATGGCCGAGTTCAACTCTAACCCATGATATAGTCAACAGTGACTATTTTGGCCTTAATACCAAAACTTATTTTAATTGTCATTTATTTGTTTGTGCTGGATTTCTTTTTATCATTATTAGCTGTTATCACTTTTATATTTTCCCATAGGGAGAAGATCATGACTACACCCAGAAAGGAGAAGAAGAGAGGGATAGAAGGGAGGAAAAGGCTGAAAAGGCTGCAGTTCTGGATAAGGTTATAATCTGCTTAATTGCTTATCCTGATGTTTTAGCATCTCCAAATTGGTTTTAACTAATACCTCCACAGGCAATTGAGAAAGAGTTGCTTGCAAGGCTTGAAAATGGAATTTATGATGGCATATACAACCTCCCCTTCAATAAATTCCTCCAAACTCTTGACACAGATGAACTGCAGGCTGAGGATGAAAATGAAGAGGTTTGTGTTATGCTACATATTGTTGTATGGGACCTGAGTTTCTTTTCCCTTTCCTTTCTCACTGCTTGTTTTCTGGGAATAAGCAGGAATCTGAAGTTGAATACGTTGAGGGCAACTTTGAACTTGAAGAGGAAGATGACATAGAAGATTTGGGTATGAAGGATTATCACATTGGTGATGGTATGACTCTTGTCTGTGTTCTCAGTACTTGTACATGATGTGATATTGCATGCATAATATTAAAAATGAATGTTTATTACACCATGTTTGCTTTTTTCCTATCTTAGCTATTGTCTTTTGAAATGGTATGAGCTACATTTTTGTGACAATATTATCACACCAATTGCATACCATGTGCCTGAATAAGAAATTCTGCATATTCATTTCTGCTATGGTTGAAATTTTTATACAGATGAGTTAGCTAATGATGATGATGATGAAGAAGAAAATGCAATTGAAGAAAAGAGAGTGAGAAGTAAGCCTAAGTCTGCCCATGATAAGTCCGAGAAAGATGAGTTTGGTAAAAAGTTGAAAAAGAAACCAAGGATCCATGTTGAGGTAAGAATCCTTGTCTATATCCAACTCTGTTTTCTGCAATCATATATGTATTCTTTCATTTTTATATGTAGATATCCATGATTTTTTTAGACTGTATTTTATTCATGTGATAGTCTAACATCATTAATATCAATTAAGTGAAAAGCCCCCTCCCCCCTTCCCTTTTTTCTTTTTAAATAATGGTGATTCTATCTATATGTAGCTTGAGAACTTTCTTGTAAGCATTGTGCAAAAAGATTTATATGGCAGACTTTGATGTCTAATGATATTAGACCGTTTGTCACATCTGGAAAGAAACATTGTGTTGATTTCTGGTGCACTTGGAATCAGACAGATATGAGCAGTGCAAGTAATTTTGGTTCATGGCTAGTAATGATTACCGTTAAATTCTGTAGCTTGAGATACACTTTTTTACATACATTGTATATAGCATATTATTATTATTACACCAGATCCACCTGTTTTTTTGGTGTTTTTTTATGGAGTTCCCCTCCTAGTAAATGATACGTTCATTTTGGGATCACTGGCGATCCTGAACATATTTATAGAATATGGTTACTAAGGCCATTCGCATTGTATTTTGCATTTACCAGGTTGAACATGACGAGGGTGGTGAAAGGCAGAAAGTAAGCTTCTGAGTCGCAAGATCGATGGTATCATTCAACAAGTAGCATGAAGGGTAGATTACTTATAAGTAAAGAACGTGGAAAACGAATTAAACTCGAGGAGGCCTGCTGTAACAACCCCCCGCCCATAAACCTCTAATACCAACTTCGGTTAAAAGAACACTTAGGATAGAAGAATGAAGAAGTGGAGAAGAGTTTTTCATTGTTATTTTTTTGGGGTTTTAAAAATTTTGTTGACCTTATTGGAGTACTGGTTTGTTTGTTTAATGCAAAGGGATGTGGAATTTATTAATTACGCAGAGAGATTGTTAATTGCTTGCAATGCAGCTTTGCTTTTTATACTATTCTGTTCCTAGTTATCTAACCAGAATCTCTCTCAATTCCCTTTTCATAACGGCACAGCGCAGCATCCAGCAACCTCAATGAAGATTATCTACTTGATTTTTAGGGGGAAAATCTCCCTTTTTTCTTTCTTTTAACATAACAGATAATTTCTCTGTTATTTATGGATATTCTTATTTAGTAGGACAAAGGACAATATGCTCACTTTCCAGGAAATGTTAGGTTCCTTTGTGAATCAGTTTACGAGAATGTGATTCTTTTAAATGATAGTGAGAAATTGAAAGAATGTGATTCTTTTGAATAAATGGAAAACTAATATCATATAAGATTATGGCTAAACTAATTAATGCTTTGTTGGTAATAAATATTTTTAAAAAAGGTAAAACTAATTTCATATTCTTAACAAAATAATTATAGGCTTAATGACTACAACTTACAATCCATGCTTTTTCAAACATCAGCATGTGAAAGTTATTAAATTTTACGTCTTTTAACACATGTTTTGCCCCTTTACTGTAACTTAACTATCTGTTCAATTATACTTACATCATGTTGTCTAGAGTGAGCAAGACTCGATTTAATTTGAAAATTTTGCGACGTTAAAAACTTAATTCAATTTGTAGTTTTATAAGATGTATTAGACTCGAAAAAGTTTTAAATTCGAGTTGAATTATAAAATAAAATTCAAATAATTCAAAATTTGGTAATCAGTGGATTAATTTTTAAGTTCGAGTTGAATCCCTCAATTCTAAATGATATATGTACAATGCACATGGGAAAAAATGAATATATATATATATATATAATTATTTAAATTATAATCAAATAGTACCATAATATTATAAATATTTATTATTAAATCTAAATAGAAACTCGAACAACTCAACTTGACTTGATTCAAATTTCATAAACTCGACTCGATTAGAAAAAATTTCAAATAAAATTTAAGTTATGAAATAATACTCGTCAATTCGTTTAATTTAATATTTTTTAGCTCGATTCAAATACTCACCTCTAATTATGTTATCACACGAGTCCATTTGGATAACCTTAGACTCAAATTACAAGGCCTATAATAGAGTTAGGAATTCAAATTTAATGGTTTCTCCTCAACAAGACATTATTTCGAGAATTAAATCTTGTTTCAAACCTATAATGGAAATTTATTGGTTTCTGTTTTTTCTTGAAATCCAAATATAGTAAATTATTATTTTGTCCTCCACCCATTTTTACGGTTTTATTTTGGTCATCCAACTAGTTTTTTTTAAATCATACTTAATATTATGTTTCGGTCATCCGCTGTTCAACAATAAACGAGATTACTAATATGATTTTTTTTTATTGATAATGTAAAAGCATAATATAGATCACTTAAATATGATTAACAACACATAATTAAGATTTTGGCAGTCATAATAAGAGAGTTATGTTGAAAGGAAAATCACTGAAGTAAAGCAATGACTACAACAATATTACATTAATCATTTTATTATAATTTATTCAGTTGAATGCAGAACCATTGTTTTCTTGTCTGTAAAAAATCTACAGAAAATATTAGTGTTACAATGAAGTTGAAACAGAATTCAGTGTTGATGTATCAACTTTCGAGATCGGCCAAACCGAATGTTCTTTCGACAGCTTTGCACCAAGAATCGACCTTCTTCTTCCTCTTTTCTTCGCTTAACGTCGGGGAGAATGTGGTTGAGGCGTTGAGCTTATGACCCGAAGCAAAGAGTTCATCTTCTTTCCACACACCTACAGCTATTCCAGCAGCATATGCAGCACCAAGAGCAGTTGTTTCTATGTCAGCTGGTCTCACCACGGGGCTTCCCAACAAGTCGGCCTGCGATCGATCAACCACGATTAAAACACAAAATCAGATGATCGGATGAAGAGAGCATGAATGGTTCAGATAGTCTCTTTGATTTTATACACACACACAGAGGTATGCATTGCAATGCAGCTGAGATTCTAAGAAAAACTTCCTTGATTGCAAAACAGTACTGAGCCAAAATGTATAAACGATGCATCAAGAACCTATGTCATGGCCCAGGTTGAATGCTTACTGAAGATACTATTTTTTATCCATTTATTATTATTATTATTATTAGTATTTATTATTATTATTAATATTATTATTATATTATTATTATTAATAAATAATTACAACTGGACCGGCCCAGTTACAAGCCAACTAGAACCGGTCCAGCCAACCAGAAACCCTAAAAGGTTTCAGCTAGGGTTTCTAAACCCTAGCCACACGCCAGCCGCCTCTGATGCTTCCAGATCCCAGCCGCCGCCTCACTGCCAAGTGGTCCAATGGTCCACTGCCGACGCCTCCGCCGCTGCCACGTTCCGAATGAAGGCTCCAGAAGATCAACGACGGCCGTCCACGCCAAGGCTACGGGGTGAGTCACCACTGGTAGTCCGGTGACTCACCAAAGCCCTCTCTTCGGACCGGTCCGATGACCGCACCGGTGGTGGCTATAAAAGCCACCACCCACCTGCAAGACAAAAAGAGGGACAGAGACCGCAAGAAGAGAAAGAAACAGAAAGAAAAATACAGAGAAAAAAAAAATAATAATAACAACAACAACAACTACCAACGATCCCAGTCCACAACAGCAGAGCAAAAATAGAAAGAAAAGAGAGAAGAGAAGCTTACCAAGGAAGCTTTGACCACCACCGGAATCACTGAACATCGTCGGAAAATCAAAAATACCGAAGGTATATTTACAGATCTGCTCCGATTGGGAGCCATTTAAGGAAAAAGAACATCGGAACCGTCCTTAGGACGGTCCGATCTATCTACTAGTATAAGAATAATTTTTTTCGGCCACCGGATGCGGTGGCCGGCGGTGACATTCACGGCGGCACACGGTGGCCGACCGATGACCGGCTTCCCTCCGGTGAGGGAAGCTAGAGAGAAGGCAGAGAGTTTGAAACTCTCTCGGTTTAGAGAGAGAGAAGGAAATGAGGAATGAAATGGTTGGCCCTTCGGGCCAGCCGATATTGGACATTTATAGTCCTTCCCGAACGACGTCGTTTCGGGAAGGACTATGCGCGTAATTACAAAATAGTTAAATCCCTTCCGCAGTCCTTAGTACTTGTAAACTTTACATTTTAGTCACTAAATTGAATTTTTAATATTTTTTAGTTCAGTCTTCGAATTTTAAATTTATTCATTTTAGTCCTTTTTATTAAAATAATATATTTAGGATAAATAACAGATTTAATCCTTTAATTTTAATAAATAAAGTTTTCATCCCTAGTTCATATTTTTAATTAATTTTATTTTTAAATTTGATTTTTAAATAAATTCATTTTAGTCACTAAGTTATTAAAATTAGAAAATAAAATATTTAATCCCTATAATTTCAATTAATTAGGAATTAGATTTAATTTTATTCATAATTTAATTATTTTATATGTTTTCATTTTATTGTTTAAAATATATTATTTTAGTGATATTTTTATTTTATTATACTGTTAAATATTTTTATATATACATATAATAAATATTTTTGATATCGAAGAAAAGGACAGTCTTAATACAACTGGATGTCCTATTCTGATATTTTATAATTAAAAATTAAATAATATTATTTAAAAACTAATATTTATCAATATCAAAGAAAAGAGCTGTCTTAAGGCACCTAGAAGTTCTTTTCGGATATTTTTAAATAAATAAATATTTTTTTTACAATTTTAAAATTATAAGATTATAAATTAAATATATTTTTGATTTTTTAAATTTTTAATAATAGAGACAATTTATAATTAAAAAGTACCAATTTTGGGCGTTGTAGGGGTGCTAATCCTTCCCTAAACGTAACCGACCACGAATCCCTGTTTATTATTAAAAAGAACGAATTTTTGGTTATAAAACGCAGATCAGTTCATCTTTTAAATATGGTTTTCTTAAAAACTATTTTAAAAGAAAATTTTTAGGTATTCGACCTACCTGATTCAAAAGGTCGATGGCGACTCACCAATTATTTTCAAAATTATTTATTAACATCAATTTCCCCTCCAAATTATAATATTTCGTGCCCGGACGAAAACCGGTTACGACAGCTTGGCGACTCTGCTGGGGACTTGTCAAACTTCAAAATTAATTATAAATTGTCTCTATCAGTTAGAAATTAAAAATTAATATATTAATTTTTAATTCTTTTCTTTCAAATTTTTTATTATTTATTATTTTTATATATTATTATTTATTATTTTATTTATTTATTTTATTCAAGAATTAATTATTTTATTTGTTTGTTAGAGGTTTGAACATTTCTCCTCACACACAACACTTGCATTGCATAACATAAGCTTTCTAATCAAGCTTGTCCTTTTTTAAGTGGGAGTGAAAGCGACGTCTTCGTGAGAATTTATTCTCCGTGTCAGACCTAGCAAGTAACTTTCGGGGTTCATATGCTCTATGTCTTCGTGAGAATTTATTCTCCGTGTCAGGCATAGAGAAATGTGTCCCCTTGAATTGAACTCGATCCGCTTAAGTCTGTAATGGACTAGGATTGAGGGTTTGACAGCCCAAGGGGGCATCAACAAGGACAATTCGAGTACCTTTACTCCTAGAACTGAAAACCTGCATATAATAAACCCTAGAAACTCTCCCGATCTGAAACTATGCCGAAATTTTGTCAGTAGGTATACACAAAGGAGAAATAAGCTCTAGCTTTTAATTTATTTTATTTCATTTTCTTTTTCCTGAATAAATGCATGTGAACTAGAAATCGTGCAGTTAAATTAAATTTTCCAAACAAAGCATGGAACTAGAAAGCATGAGGTTAAGATTTATACATTGATATATAGTTTTTTTTTAGTTGGTACTAACTATTCTATTTTTTTTTCATGTATATTACATTGCTCTAATCCGTTCATATTGATTTCTTTTGTTTGCATTACATGATCATGGCATAACCAAAAGGTGTTGACTTAAAAGACTGTTCATCATATTGGAAAGAAATCGTAAATGGACAAAAAGTTTTATGATCAAACAAAATATGATGCGGCCAAAGAAAGACATCCTGAAGAAACTACGAGGATCGAGGGAAGTTCTGTACATAGAGAACCGGTTATATTAATACCAAAAGTATTAATCAAAGATCCTATCAGATTGATACCAAAAGCAATCTATGGTAAGAGCATCAGTCAGGGCATTCAGAGTAGTGGAGATTTTTATGAAACCCAAGCATATTATTTGAAGGACTTGAACGACCAAAACAAGAAATTGAGCACAGAAATGAAAACCATGCATGAAGATTTTCAAAAGATCAGTCAAGCCTTTCAAAATGCTAGCCTAGGAGGTACCCCAGAAGAATGGATAACAGGGGTCACCAAGCTGAAAAAGAGCTGCAACATATATGAAGATCTTGTTCAAGAACTTCTTGGACAGAAAAGATCTCTTACAAAGGAAAATGAGCAACTCCGAGAAGTGACACAGAAAATGAAAGAGAATGTCATGGAAGAGGTTACAGTCCAGACAAGCAATATGTCCCTTAAGTTGATAGACTAATTTGGCTTTGGAGAAGTTAGGAATGAAATATATCCCTATATGTAAAGTTTTGTTTTATGTACCGAAACTTTGCGTTCAATGAAATCTGTTCTAAGATGATCACTCTTGAGTAACACCTTTTCATACATGCATTTGTATTTTGCATTTGTACATTTTTACGTTTGTATTTACATTTACATTTTTAAATTTACATCATGCATTAAAACATATTTAATTAAATAATAATGTTTATTTATTTTCAATATCAAAGAAAAGGGCAGTCTTAATATAACTGGATGTCCTATTCTGGTATTTTAAATAATTTACATTTACATTTTACATTTGCATATTTACATTTGGCATTTTGCATTTGTATTGCACAATTTGTATTCTTATTATTACATTCACATATTTACATTTGCATTTAGCATCTTTGCATTTTTTATGTCATAATACATTAAAACATTCATTCATTAAAATAAGGATTTCAAATGAAGTGATCTTGGTTTTTCCTTGAAGCAAGAACGCTCAGCACGACACAAGAAAAATGTTTAAAGAAACTGAAGATAGGCTAGCCAAATTGAGATAAAGCAGAAAGAAATACAAGAGGAATTGAGGAGCAAGTTGGCACAAATCGAAGCTAATTCTCAGATCGATCTACTGAACAATATGAAAGAAATGATTGATAAGCATTTGACTGCTGGAAAGAGTCTTGTTAAAAACCCCACAAATTCTTTGGGTGTTACACCTGTTCATATTCCTGAGTTCACCTCTGTACCCCAGGAAATTCAATCACCGATTTACTTCGCTGTTAAGAACTCACAATATCAAGCTGAAGCTTCGTTCCCCGCTGATTGTCCTATTACTTCTGAGTTAAAGTCAGATAAATTTGTAATGAGGTCCTTGACTCAAATGAATTAGTTGAAAAGAAAAAACTCATCCAAAGATTGAAAAATGTAGAAGAGGGAATAAAATCTAAAGAGAGGGTTGAGTCATTTTATGGGTTTGAAGCCAAAGAGTTAAGTTTGGTCCCTGACCTAATTATCCCACCAAAGTTCAAGGTTCCAGATTTCGAGAAGTATAATGGGACCACATGCCCTTCATCTCATATCACCATGTACTGTCGTCGCATGACTGGCTATGTGAAGAATGAAAAGTTATTGATCCACTATTTTCAAGATAGTTTATCTGGACCTGCTTCCAAATGGTATAATCAGCTAAAACGTACTCAAATACGTTATTGGAAAGACTTAGCTCAAGCATTTTTGAGTCAATACAAGCACATGACTGATATGGCCCCTGATCGAACAATGTTGTAAAGCATGAATATGAAG